GAGAACGAAATTGATATACTCTATATCAAAATATTTTTAAAATGGTGCATCTTGTCTTTTACAAATACCAACTCTATCTTCATATTTTGATATAGAATATATCAATTTCATTGTTTTGGGTGATTTAATGTAATATACACCAATTACCAAAAAATATACATATTTGGCGAAACAAAATTAGATACCATCACTACAAAAAAAAAGGATTAAAAATTGTATCATTTATTTTAAATATTTGCATTACTTATAAATGATGTAAATGTATTTTGCATCACTTAAATAAGCGATTCTGAAATTGTTGATGCAAATATTTCTCATCAGTTAATAAGTAATCGATACAAATATGTAAAATATTTACATCAATTGTTGTAATCGATCTCAATATGTATCAATTGCAAAAAATGATGTTAACATTTAAATCAATTTGGGTAAATGATGTTAGTATTTGTAACAGTTATGATAAGTGACGTTAATTTTTCTATCACTTTTAAATAATTGATGCTAAGTTTAGTGTCAATTTCTTTAAGTGCTTCTAATTCTTTTATCATTTATAATAACTGATTTAAAGTATTATTTTTATTTACAACATAAATAGCCTATTTTATTCAATATATTTTCTAAATTCCAAAAAATATTGATTAAATACGAAAATCCAAATAAAAATGACTAATTAATGTATTAAAAAGTAGATTACATGATTCGTCCATGGTGAAAAATGCAAATGCATAAAACATTAACAAAATAAAATTGCTAAGTTACTGTTCATCATGACTAGCATGGTTTCAACTCATAAACTTTTTGATATCCATTAGCCCCATCATTTCATCCATTTCCTAGAAAGGAAATCATACAACAAATCAATTTATCATCTAAATGTCCATAAGCAGTTAAGCACCATCATCCATTTAAAGTAAGAACCATTTACATCATCTGAATCCGTAAAATCCATGGTCCTAAACAAAGTAAAATTAAATAAAACTAGTTAGCATTACAAAATTTCATTTGTATGAACACCAGTTGATTTACTAAAGGTACAAACAAAGTACATGTGATCTAGACAAGTTAAAAGACGTGACAGTCATGTGATCAATTTTTTAATCTTCATATCATTATCTTGATTAAGTCATGCATCTTGTTTCCAAAACAAAAAATTACAAAAGTTTTTTTTGGAGAGACACATAACGTAGCAAAAAATTACATTCACAAAACCAACTTTATAAGTTATGTATAATTCGTATTGTAACGCCCGTGAATCAATAATTAAATTTTGGTTATATTTTTTTGTGGTGTCGATCGACACTAGCAATATTTCGGTTCGACGGTTTGATTTTTTAAATCGTTCGGTTAGCAATTTTTGTAATTGGAAAATCCTAGTGCTCATGTTATAAAACGAGCAGTCTCCTTCTTTGGACACAAATCAGAGATTGAAAGGGGATTTTCGTTTTTGAGAGAGATAAGAGGAGATTTTTGGTTGAGCTTGTTTCTTTATGCTTGTTAAGGCTCGATTAAAGCTGTAGGAGCCAAAATGGGATCGAGTGTTGGTGATTTCGAGAGAAGGATCTGATTTGCTCTTTGTTTGAAAAAATGGATAAAGAGAATACAACTCGAATATAAAAAAGTTAAGAGATCTAGTAGTTTATTTGATTAATTTGATTGGTTTGTAACAAATTGAAGGATTAGATTATGTGATTAGTGTATAATTTAACAAAATAGTAATACCCAAAACAGCTTTCTTGCCATGTTTTTTTTTGTAAGGTTGATTCTAGTATTCTAGTCACATGAAACTTAAAAATAAATAAAGTTTTTTTAATTAAAACTATAGACACTTACCATAAATTTATTCAAAACATTTTAGACCAATAAAGTTTTAGCAAACTGTAAGGAAATAAACCCTAAGAAAGGAGCCTTTAACTTTAAGGGAACCTTAACCCTCACATATTAAAAAAATAATTTGGTTAGTATGTAAAGTTACAGAAAAAGTTTTAAATCGATATAATTTTTAGTGATAGTTACCGAGGAATTTCAACATGTATCAGTCAAAGAATCGAACTACTAATCAGTTAAAAACATAATTTATTCAACCACTTGAACAAATTTACCGAAAGCAACTCTTGAACAAATCTCTAACAAAAGCAACACTAAGTACGTATTCTAACGTGAATATATATAAAGGCAAACCCTAAAGAAACACAAGCTAGAATATGATTAGAGAATAACCTTATAGAGAGGACAAAATCTGGA